TAAGTTACCCTATTAGCTGGTGTCCCCTTCCCCTCCACCCCAGAACCCAAACTAATGGGTCCATCTAACCATGCAGGAAGGATCCATCTACTTCTCACCCCCACAAAAACCCTCCAGCCCATAGCTCCTCAATATGCCCCAAACTTAGATGCCAGCCTATATCTCAGAGGAACAGAATCCTCCTTTCCACAGTAAAAGCTGTATCCCTACACTCAAAACACTTGCTCCCTGCTCCTGGAGTCTCCATTACAGCTTCCCAAAAGTCATCTCAGACACCCTTGTTGCCCTCCCCGACCCAAGTCCAAAGGGTCTAAAACATAATTTTGGAGGATATCATAACCAAGAAATTTCAAATAACCAAGACAGGTTTCTAGTCCCTCGAGGAGCAAGGGGTGGGGCGAATCACCAGAATCTTCAGTATTTTCCTTTCTCTCAAAGAGATGATATCTCAAGAGTCTTGCACCATCCCTCACTCCAGGAGAAGGGGTATGGTGGGGCACTCCCACCTCTCCAAAGCACAGACATTTAACTAAAGGCTGTCTATCACTAGGAGGAGCAGCTGACCCTATAAATAACTAGGGTGGGAAGGTGACAGAGAGACTTGGTAAAATAACTGAGCAGAAACCGGTCTTCTCAGTGCCTGATCTTGGACACCACTGATCCGGTCCAATGAGAACTGAAAGTTTAGGCCACTGGCTGTGTGAACTACAAGCCCTGTCCTTGGGGCCCTTGATTTGGGAATTATCCTGCAGTGGGAGCTGACATCTTCCCAATATTGCGCTACTTCTTTTTCCATATGAGAAAACTGAGAGCGTTATACAGGTACAGCCTCCCCAAACCTGGAGGGGACTGAACCCAAAGGCCAGCCCTGCCCCTTTATGTCGAAGCTTATTTTCTCACTCTCATAATTATCCCAAACCTAGCCTGGAGGTGCAAGAACCCCAACGTTCTTCAGAACTACATTACCCAATAGGCCTGGGGCAAAGACCCGCCCGCTCAAGGGTAAGAAATGGCCCAGAAAGGGCGGGTCCTCAAGCCCAAGAACGAGCCCGGAGGCACCCCAGCTGGAGGCGGGCCTGAGATGCCAGGGGCTTGGAGTAGAGCTGCGGGCGTGAAGGTGGAGGCTAAAGGGTGAGGCTTCAGATCCTCTTGAAAATATGGGGGAAGTGTCGGGCACTAAGGGCGGGGCTGGAGCCAGAGGCCCAAGAGAGATTGGACGACTGGGGCGTGGCGGAGTAGTCCGAGGGCGGGGCCCGAGGAGGGACTCTTGAGCCCAGCGAGGCTGCGCCCAGCGCGGCGGGGTGGCAGCTCAATTCCTGCTAGTGTGGAGGGGGTCTGCAGAAGGATCCTTTCACTCCCACCTTTACCGGAGGCCACAGCCGTGAGTGAATCCAGCGGAAGGACCTCGGGACGATGCGGGTAGGAGGACTGCTGAGGGAGCACTATTTCTGAACTTTCGCTCTTACAGAAGAGTAGGTGGAGCGATCCAGGACACCTGGGCACCTCCTCGAGTCCAAGGTTCCTAACAGACGGCAGGTCCCATGACCTCCGTCTGCCCCTTTGAATAATGAAATTGCGGTGGGGCGCTGAGAGTGGGTGTGGAGTATTCCAGGCGGTGTAGGTGCAGTCACTCGATCCTCACGGATCTTGCAGAGGAGGGAGATGGGCCGGATCGAGTTGCCTTTGACATTTCCACCCGCCCCATCCCCCAACCGTGTCCAACAAACGTCTCTGAAATGGCCCCCACTCAGTTGAGCCAAGCTGGGCTCTCTCCCTCAGACCAGACCAGGGGCTGGAAGCCAAGACTGCGGTTGAATGTCGAGCGGGAAAAGACCCAAGAAGGCCCGACCCGCAGACCCCACTTGCTTAGCCTTAGCCTGTGGTTGGCCATTGGCCAGATGGTGGAGACAGCAGATTACAGGGGTCTCTAATGACTTCGCACCCGAACCACAGAATTCCTACCCCACAGCCCTGGTACCAGATATCATTAAAATGGCCCCTTTCAAAGAAAAATTGTCCCTTTCCCACCTTTAGAATCTTTCTGGTTGGCCCAGAGCAATCCACAGCACCAACCTTTAAAAGACGCCTCACCATGCCCACTCCCATCTGATGGAAGCCTGCTGTGCATTTCAGGTAACCAAATCAGACCATTATCTCCCATCTCCCAAAATATGCTGTGGAGAGTGGAGGTAGGAATTTGGAAGCAGACTTACTGCCTGGGTGACTTCGGATAAGCCCCTTTGTCTCTTTGAGCCACTGTTTCCTCATCTGTAAAATGGACACTAACCTACCTCTGCCATTCCATATTATCGTTAGGGTTAAATGTTGTGGTACATTTGGGAGACCAGAATGGTGCGCGGCAGAATGGGTGCCCAGGTCAGTTGGCTCCTGCCTGTCATCAATGAAGACAAAATTTTTATTTTATTTATTTATTTTTACTGGGGATTTAAGCCAGGGTAGTTCTACTACTGAGCTACATACACCCTCACCCTTCTTATTTTTTTACTTTGAGACAGAGTCTCACTAAGTTGCTGAAGGCCTTGCTAAGTTGCTGAAGCTGGCCTGGAACTTGGAATCCTCCTGTCTCAGTCCCCATTGGCTGGGATTACAGGCCTGGGCCACCTGACCCTATATCAAAAAACTTTAGGATTCAAAAAGTTAAGATTCTCAGAACCCAAGTGTTAGAAATGACTTTTGAGGCATTTGAGGTCACTAAGGTGGGCAGGCTCTTTATACCTCCAAAAGTCATGAAATCAGGCTGACAATATAAAGTTTTGAGGATGAGGACGTCTCTGTCCTATTTAGATATGAAGCCTCTCACATATTCCCTTAGAATCCAGAAATGAAGTCATGATTGTCTTAAACGAATGAATATAGCAAATATGGACTGGTCATCTAAAGCCTTCTTGGGATTCTGCTCAACTTTGAGCATGTCAGAAAAGGCAACTGCATGCATTTTCTAGGAGGACTTTTCTAACCTGTACTTATAGGAAGTGAGGAGCAAAATTAAGTTGTGTGTGCTTAGACGAAGTGAAAGAGCCTGTTCTAGACCAGGGAGACTGAAAAATTTAGGGAATTAGGGGGAGGGAGCAACTTGAGGAAAGGGTATGGAAGGTGCTGTGTATTGACATCTACTATCAATATTCTGATCAGCACTTGGCATTTTTGATAGTTTCTGTGAGGGGAAGCTAAAAGAGTTAAAGAATCTGAGTAGTTCCAGCATTTCCTTGGAAGTCACTGGAGACAGACACAGACACTGGCATCTGGAAGGAGGCTAATTACTGTTTGCCAGTCTCCATCTCTTCTTCACCCCAGCTGGAGCAGCTAGGCAGCCAGCTAGCTGGCAGTGTATCTGCCTGTGTGTGTACATGTGGTGGTGTTTCTTTATTGAACTCTGCCCTGAGGGTTGGGAACAGGAAGGATCATTGACTTTGAGCAGCGGATTCAGACACAAACTTTCCCCCAAGCCTTTATTTCTCTACAGTCATATCCAGATGTTCAGCATATAGTATGTGAAATTTTATATGTGTGGTGGTCAGTCTGATCACTAGAGAGCTTGTAGGTGAAGGAGAGTTACCAGGCCGAGTGTGAAATCTTCTGAAGCAGGTGGCCTGAAAAAATTTAGATTGAGAGAATGCGCTTGATAAGTCACTGGACAGGCCTGGCTAGAGATAGAATCAGAAAGGTAGCTAAGGAATGTCTTGAACCTTGATTTCAAAGCTTGCAGATCTGAATTTTACCATGAGCATCTCTTGAAGTAAGCACAGATGTGGTTTGATAAGTGCTTTAGAAAGATCACTTTAGTTGTTGTGAGCAGAAGACACTAGAGGAAAAGAAGTTGGGGGTAGGGAGACCTACTGGAGAAGTGTTGCAATAGTATAGGGGAGAAGTGACAGTATCCAAACTAAGGCAGGGACAGCAGTACAGAGGGTAAGTGGTAGAGATAAAGTTAGGAAGCAGGTGATGCACAGATGTTATGTTTGGAGCAAAGAAAGAAGGTGGGCAGAGAAATGGAATGTTGGTTAATGATTCAGAACTAGGTGGGGTTTTATGGCAAAGGGGCTGATTTGAGAAGGCATATCCTCACCCCAGCACTAACCCCTGCCTCCCTTTAAACCAAGCCTTGGGATTGAGTCTGGTTTTGGACTATCTTCTTTAATTTCAAAATGTCATCTGGCTTCTAACTCAAGATAAAATTCCATGCCTGAGCTGTCTCCTCTTCCTCCTTTCCCCTCTGGGTACAGGGAAGCTATCCTATTGCCCTGTTAAAACTCTCAAGGAGCTGGTGCAGTGGCTTACCCCTGTAATCCCAATATTGGGTCTGCTGAGGTAGGAGGATTGCAAGCTCAAGGCCAGCCTGAGTAACTTAGTGAGATCCTGCCTCAAAAATAAATAAATAAATGGGTTAGGGGTGCAGCTCAGTGGTAAAGCACCTCTGGTTTGAATTCCTGATATGGGGGTTCTCAAGGAACTGGCTGGACCATCCCCCTCTCTTACCATGGCCTTGCCTTTGGGAGACAAGACTCTCCCCATTTCCATCCCTCTTAAACCTGAATTGCTCCATGTGTCACCCAGTAGACCTGATTTATCCTGTGGTCCAGGACAGCACCCTGACCCTTTCTGGGTTTGTTTCTCCATCAGGAAAAAGGGGAAGCATGCCATTTGCCAATTACATGATTCTCCCCATTCAGAGTCCTGACTCATTTTGTCAAGAACTTGGAGCCCATGAGAAAGGACAGGTGGGACCCAGGCAGACTGTTCTGGTGTCATCTTTTCTACTCATCAAGACCTTAGGTTCCAGTACATCTCTAGTACTCACTGTGCCACAGCAAATGAAAATATTATGGAATGAGAAAGTTCAGTCTCCTCTCTTTCTCTCTCTCTCCCTTCCCCTCTTTCCCTCTCTCCCACTCCCTCCCTCCCTCCCTACTCCCCTCCTCCCTACTCCCCTCCCCGGCTTTCAGAGTCCTACAGGTGAGGTTCAGATGGGCTTGGTCAAGTGGACCAACTACCAGCTCCTTCCTTAGCTGGAGGCTGATGCCCCAGAACCTTCAAGAGAAGAGCCAGGCCTACCCCCGCCGCCGCCCTGGTCACCACACAGGCCATAAAAGCTCTGAGGCTGTCGAAGCAACAGCCATGTACACTTTCCTGCCCGACAACTTCTCTCCCTCCAAGCCCAAGCCGTCCAAAGAGTTGAGGCCACTACTGGGCTCCGCGGTGCTGGGGCTGCTGCTGGTGTTGGCCGCGGTAGTGGCCTGGTGCTACTATAGCGCTTCCTTACGCAAAGCAGAACGCCTTCGCGCAGAGCTGCTGGACCTCAACCGTGGCGGCTTCTCCATCCGAAACCAGAAGGGCGAGCAAGTCTTCCGTTTAGCCTTCCGTTCTGGAGCATTGGACCTCGACTCCTGCAGCCGCGATGGCGCCCTGCTTGGCTGCTCTCGCACGGCGGATGGGCGCCCACTGCACTTCTTCATCCAGACTGTGAGGCCCAAGGACACCGTCATGTGCTATCGCGTGCGCTGGGAGGAAGCAGCCCCAGGACGTGCGGTGGAGCATGCCATGTTCCTGGGCGATGCGGCTGCTCATTGGTATGGCGGTGCTGAGATGAGGACGCAACACTGGCCCATCCGCCTGGAGGGCCATCTGGAACCGCAGCCATTTGTCACTAGCGATGTCTACTCTTCTGACGCCGCATTTGGGGGCATACTTGAGCGCTATTGGCTATCATCTCGCGCAGCTGCCATCAAAGTCAACGACTCAGTGCCTTTCCACCTGGGCTGGAATAGCACGGAGCGTTCGATGCGGCTCCAGGCACGCTACCACGACACGCCTTACAAGCCGCCTGCTGGACGCACCGCAGCACCAGAGCTCAGCTACCGGGTATGCGTCGGCTCAGACGTCACTTCCATCCACAAGTATATGGTGCGGCGTTACTTCAACAAACCATCGAGGGTGCCAGCGCCCGAGGCCTTCAGAGACCCTATCTGGTCCACGTGGGCGCTCTATGGGCGTGCTGTGGACCAGGATAAGGTGCTGCGTTTTGCCCAGCAGATCCGCCAGCACCGCTTCAATAGCAGCCACCTGGAAATTGACGACATGTACACACCGGCCTACGGCGACTTCGAATTCGACGAGGCCAAATTCCCCAACGCCAGCGACATGTTCCGCCGCCTGCGAGACGCTGGCTTCCGGGTCACACTCTGGGTGCACCCATTTGTCAACTACAACTCCTCACGTTTCGGCGAGGGCGTGGAGCGTGAGCTGTTCGTGCGCGAACCCACAGGCAGGCTGCCAGCGCTTGTGCGATGGTGGAATGGCATTGGCGCGGTGCTCGACTTCACGCGCCCAGAGGCCCGCGACTGGTTTCAGGGACACCTGAGACGCCTGCGTTCGCGCTACGCTGTGGCCTCCTTTAAATTCGACGCGGGTGAAGTCAGCTACCTGCCGCGGGACTTCAGCACCTATAGATCGCTGCCTGACCCCAGCGTATGGAGCCGGCGCTACACTGAAATGGCTCTGCCTTTCTTCTCACTGGCCGAGGTACGTGTGGGCTACCAGTCACAGAACATCTCATGCTTCTTCCGCCTGGTGGACCGCGACTCGGTGTGGGGCTATGATTTGGGGCTGCGCTCGCTCATTCCAGCGGTGCTCACCGTCAGCATGCTGGGCTACCCATTCATCCTGCCAGATATGGTGGGTGGCAACGCAGTCCCTGAGCGCACAGCTGGCGGCAGAGATGGTCCGGAGCGCGAGCTTTACGTGCGCTGGTTAGAGGTGGCCGCTTTCATGCCAGCCATGCAGTTTTCAATCCCGCCCTGGCAATATGACGCAGAAGTGGTGACCATTGCACACAAGTTCGCTGCACTGCGGGCCTCGCTTGTGGCACCGCTGTTGCTGGAACTCGCCGGTGAGGTCACGGACACTGGCGACCCCATAGTGCGCCCCCTTTGGTGGATCGCGCCCGGCGACGAGACAGCTCACCGCATTGACTCTCAGTTCCTTATCGGGGACACGCTGCTAGTGGCGCCGGTGTTGGAGCCAGGCAAGCAGGAGCGCGACGTCTACCTGCCTGCTGGCAAGTGGCGCAGCTACAAGGGCGAGCTTTTCGACAAGACGCCAGTGCTGCTCACTGATTACCCCGTCGACTTGGACGAGGTTGCCTACTTCACCTGGGCGTCCTGACTCAGCCCAGGGCCCGGGAACCCCACAGCTCTAACCCTAGCTTTCATACAGATCTTTAACTCCATCACACCCGAACACACATCTCCGGAGATCTCCACCTCTGTACTACCCATTATGTGGGTGTTGAACTAAATGTGCTGGAGCCAACTGCTGTAGGTGGGACCGAAGCAGGGGACATCAAAGCAACCTCTGGCACCAATGCACAATCCTAATAGCTCCCTTTCCCTCCACACTTACTCCAGTTTACAGAAACCTCTTTCCTGAGGTGGAGTCAGAGAGCTCAGAGGAGAAAGATTGGCTTTTTTTGTTTGTTTGTTTGTTACTTATGGTCCGGTTTTAAAAGCACAAAGAGAAACCTCTCCCCTCCATCCTGGCCTTCGTGGCCATCTTTGTCCTCCTAAAAGTCCCCCAAATATTCCCTGCCACACTCAGAAAGTATACATTCTTGGTGTTAGAAGCCAGGCCCTGAGTTCACAGCACATATCTGAACTGTGGCTGACTTGGTTCTACTCCAGCTGGGGAGAAGTCAGGTGTTTCAACAATTGACAAGGAGACAGGAGGTTCCCTCCTAGAGAACAGAAGGCCTAGCCCAGAGTCACCACTTTTGTCCCTGTTTGTGAAGAGACTCCTAATATTGCACTAACCCATCTGTGTACACACATGGGCTCAGTCACTGGCTATAAGTGCTTGATGGGCACAGACTCCAAGGCCATGCAGACCACACTTAGTGCCTTAACTCAAGAACTGTGTGTGTGTGTGTGTGTGTGTGTGTGTGTGAGAGAGAGAGAGAGAGAGAAAGAATGGCACACACCATGGGTCCCTGAATCCACAGAATAAACACAGTATCCCTGAAGCTAGATAAGCCTGGAGGAAGGGGGCAAGGGGCAAATTTGAGGCTTTGATTGTTGACCTGCCCCCCCCCCCCCCCCCCCCCCCCCCCCCCCCCCCCCCGTGGTTTCCCTGGACTCTGGTAGGAAATAAACAACTCTTTTAACTATTCCTTTGGTATCTCACTCTGCACATGTGGCAGGAGTGTGACCTAAAAGTGAGCAGTGTTCTTATTCTGGCAGTGGTATGCTTTGGCACTGGAGCGGCATGCACACAGTGACACCTGCCAATACACATACAGGGTAAGTAAGGTCTTTCATCTCAGTCATTTTTCCTTTTTGAGAAGATCAATCTCAGCCAGAGTTTCTCCTGACTTTGTAGCTGACTATTGGGAAGGAGTGGCTTGTCAGAGGGGAGATATGGGAAAGCAGAGTGGAGCTCAGTTTTCCTCAACAGCTCTGACAGCAGAACTAGTGTCCCACCCCCTAGAGAATTCTTCCCTTCACCCACCTCTCTATCCCCTTTCTTTTCTTTAAAAAAAAATTTTTTTTGTAGTCATATATGTGGGTGTTGAGGATTGAACCCAGTGCCTCACGCATGCTAGGCAAGTGCTCTGCGGCTGAGCTACAGCCCTGGCCCCTCCTCTTTATTTTCTTAGTGTGGAAAATACCTGTCAAAGGTCTTGGGTCCTTCAAGATGCACATCTCATTAGTGCCGATTATATCACTCATCAATCAGCTTAAACAAGCTGCTTAAACTTATCTCAGTTTCCTCATACATAAAAAGTGATAATGATGCCTACCTCTGAGGTCATTGTGAGAATTATAAGCACAGACTATGTAAAGTGCCTGGCATAAAGTAGGTGCTCAATAAAAGGTAGCTATTATACCATTTCTTGTTTTCTTGCTTAAAAACAAGGGTTCTGGTGCTACACTGGAGGCTAGAGCAGGAGGATTCAAAGTTTGAAGGCGGTGTGGGCAATTTAGGGAGACTCTGTCTCAAAATTAAAAGGGAGGGGCTATGCAGTTCAGTGACAGAACACCCTGGGCTCAATCCCTAGTATTGTACATGCACGCACTTGTGCGCGCCCGCACACACACAAGAATTCTTCCAGATCACAGTTCCCAGCCCCTTCCAGTCTTGTCCTATCTGTCCCCCATTCTTGCCAGCAACTCTGATGCATTCTAGGTTTGTCTCTCTCCCTGCACATCTGGATCTGGAGGTCCCAAAGCTCCTCCAAGGAGCTTTTAACAGGTCTCCCTTATGTCTGGTTGGGAGGGGTATTTGATATGCAGTAATGGGAAGCTTCCTTCCCTAGAAGTAATGGAGAAGGATTGAATGACCACTGCAGGAAACCTGGGACTGGGGCGTAGGCTCCCATTCTGCAACCTTGTGTTCTTGGGAGCCTCTGGCCTTGACTGCCTCAAAATTTAAAGGGGGGACTATGCAGTGACCTCCTAACTCTTTCCACTCTCAAACCCTTAAATCCAATTCTCACAGCAGCCAAGGAAATCTTTCTGAAATTCAATCATGTCCTGAGTAGGTGGGGATCCAAACTCTGGTGTTCAAGTCTTCAAAGATCTGGATCTTTCTCACACCTCTGTCTGTTTCTCTCTCTCTCTCTCTCTCTCTCTCACACACACACACACACACACACACACACACACACCTATTTTGAAAAGCATTTGAAGAAATACTACCTTCTGTTCTGAAATAGTTGTATAACATGCTTGCCAGGAGAGGTCTGCTCAGACTTAGCCTTGAAGAAAAACTGCAGTGGCTACTGGGTGGCTTCCTTTCCTGCCATTGTTTGGCTCAGCGGGACTGTGCCTCATGTGCTCTGTATCCTTGTACTGTTTTTCCCTCTCAGGTCCCTCTGGAGTCCAGTCTCTTGACTTCCTATTTCACAGTCCCAAGCAGGATGGGGGAGGGGTGGAAAGCAAAGCAGGATGGAGGGAGTCTGGGAGCAGGTTCTTCTGTGTACCTATAGCAGAAACTCAAGGGGACAGCGGCAGGAGCTGGCTCTGCCCTTCAACCCTCTTGTAGAAAAGAAGAAACAGCTGGGCCAAGGGCTGGATTCCTGGAGAGGTCAGTCTGTACTCCTCAAATACAGAAGCCTTATCTGGGATCCCACACCAGCACAAGAATTTCAACAGAAATTCTCCCATCATAAATTCATTCCTTTAGGTCTTCAATTCAAGCAAGTGCTTTCTATCGAGACATAAGGCATTGTTTTGAAGGTCAAGAGGGCATTTTGTTTTTCTAAAACTTCTATTCCATGCCCTTAATAGGGGGGAACTTAAACCCATTCTGGTAGGGATAAGTTCATCTGATGCTTCTTCACCATTGGAGGAGTCGGTAGTGGGGAAACAGGTAGTACTTGAGAGGGAGCCTCTTTGGGCAAGGGTGGTGAAATAGGATGGTAGTTATTAAAGAAAGTTTCCAGAAGGAGATGTTTTAGAGCTAGGAGGACCCCATATTAAAGAAGGAAATTGAGGTCTCATCCCTGTCCCTTCATAGATGAAACCAAATTCAAAATTAAGATGAACCACCTACCTTCACTACCTCTCACAATATTTATCAGGCATCTTTGCCAGCATCCACCAGGAGTCCATCCTACAGTGGACAAGAAGTGCTTAATTCCCTGCACATTCATCTTTGTACTTGAGATATTGCAAGAGATATAGGTCACTTTCTAAACCTCCCAGCTCTTATGAGCCAGACCATGGTTGGGCCCAGTACATTCAGGCCCAGGGATATAATCTGTTTCACTTAAGATAGTTGTTTCCTCTTTCTTCCCCAGTGCCTGTAACTGGCCTCTCAATTGTACTATGCTTTCATTCCACTCACAGCTTTACCTCTGAGCTTCTCAGGCATAACCATCCTGGACTCCACCCTGGTTCCCTAATTCTCATCACTAATAATTCTGGATGGGCCCCACATTCTCCAGGCATGACACAAAAGTCAGACTAGGACTTTATGGCCTTTGTTCAGAAGAAGAGAGGCTTTGAGTTTATATTAAAATTTTATTAGACTTACTTGTGGTTTTTGTATGTTTCCCAGGAAAATCAAAAGCACAAAATAAATTATTTCCTATTAAAAATTTGTGTATAAAAACTAAAATAAAAAATTGATATATAATGATAAATAAGGGTTTGGTTTGGTTTTGTGATGCTGGAGATGGCTTTGTGCATGTTACACAAGTGCAGTACCACTGAGCTACACCCTCAGCCTGATAAACAAGATTTTAAGCAAGATAAGCACATATATGATTTGACACACTGTTTTTTGGTGACAGGGTTTCACTATTTTTTGTGTGTGTGTGTGACAGGGTTTCACTATTTTGCCTGTGTTGTCCAAACTGGCCTTGAACTCATGATTGTCTTGCATCAACCTCCGTAGTAGCTGGGACTACAGGTACACAGCACCAAGACCAACTTTCAATGTGACATTTTTTAATGAACTTCAATTATTATCAATTATGATTTAGTCTTGTTCTTGTTTAGCATAAAGTTGGGTGAAACAAAAAAGCTCTAAAACATATGGAGCAAAAACTGTCAACCAAACAAGTCAACCAAAAAAGCTAGAGACTTCATTACACATTTTGTGTGTGCGTCCGCGCCTGTGTATGTGTGTGTGTGTGTTCAGGATCCAACCCAGGGCCTCAAACATGCTAGGAAGCATTCTACCACTGAGCTACATCCCCAGTTTGTTTTATTTTATTTTGAGAGAGGGTCTCACTAAATTGCTGAAACTGATCTGCAACTTGCAATCCTCTTGCCTCAGTCTCTCGAGTAATTGGGATTATATCATGTGCTACAATGCACAGCTTCAATACCTACATTTTGTTCCACATTTTTTAAATTGGAGAATTGAAGTTGTAAATAATGGTGGGATTTGTTGTTACATATTTGTGCACATAATACAACAATATTGGCTTTTAATAATGCATAGGACAGTTGGGCATGGTGGCATGTGCCTGTAACCTTAGCAACTCAAAGAGACCAAAGCAGGAGGATTGCAAGTTTGAGACCTGCCTCAGCAATTTTGTGAGACTTAGTGAGGCCCTAAGCAACTTAACAAGATCCTCTCTCAAAATGAGATTGTGACTCAGTAGGCAGAGGAGTTGCCTCTCACATGTGAGGCACTGGGTTTTACCCTCAGCACCACATAAAAATAAATGAACAAAATAAAGATATTATGTCCATGCATAACTAAAAGAAATATTAAAAGGGGGGGGGCTGGGAATGTGATTCAAAGGTTAAGCACTTCTGGGTTCAATCCCTAGTATCAATCAATTAAAATTGCAAGAGAAATTAGAAAATATTTTGAGATGAATTAAAATGAAAATATGCTAAAACCAGTACTTGAGAGAGATTTACAGCTATAATCTTATAGCTGTACTAAGAAAGGAGACATTGTGCAAAACAGTATGGAGGTTCCAAGAACTAAAAATAGAACTACCAAAAGATTCAGCAACCTTGCTTGTGGGTATATATCTAAAGGGAATAAAATCAGTATGTCAAGGCTGCAAGGCTACACTGCCATGTTCATTGAAGCATTATTCATAAGAGCTAAGATTTGGAATCAATCTAAATGTGCATTGACAGATGTTTTGGTTTGGATATAAGGTGTCTTCCAAAAGCTCCTGTGTTAATGCTGGAGAATATTCAGAGATAAAATTATTAGATTATGAAAGCTGTAACCAAATCAGTCCATCCTAATTTGAATGGTAACTGTAGGAGGATGGGGCATAGTTGATGGAGCTGGAATACCGGAGCATGCCCTGGAGGGTTAATCTTCCCTGAGGCCCTTTCCCCTTCCTCTCTGTGTTTTCTGGCTGCTAAGAGGTGAGCAGTTTCCTCCATTACCACCCTCCTGCCATGGTATTCTATCCCCTGAGGCCCAAAGTAATAGAATAGCCTCATCATGGACTGAACCTCTGAAACTGTGAGCCCAAAATAAATTTTTCCTCCTATAAGTTGTTCTGGTCAGGTATTTTGGTCACAGCTACATGGCTGACTAACACAATAGATAAATGGATAAAGAACACACACACG